CAAATGTTTGCAAATCGCCTTTCCTAATAAAGTGCTAATTAGCAAGTTTCACGGTGAATGTGGCTAAAGTAAACAGTCTCTCAGAGAGCGGCTCAGAAGAGAGGGGCGGAGTCAGCAGAGCTCATTAATATTTAAAGGGAAATGCTACAAAACGGCTTGCTCTGAAAAGAGCTGTTTTTGACAGGGTAAAAAAGCTGTTTTTTACACTACCATTGAAAAATTGTAACCAAACTGTGTTACAGACTTTTCATTAAGACCCTAAAGAATCATATCAACTTGTGGAAAATGGGCATCCGATGACCCCTTTAACAACATATAATTGTATATGCCGAGCCTGTAATCCCAGGAGAGTTCCCAGACATGTAATACTGTACATTTAATGCACTTTAAAGATTCACGTTTCATTCATGAAGATGACATGAAAAAATATCTCCTGGTGGAAAACATAGACTTTTAAGATGAAAATGACATGAAATTAGCATTATAACCAGTAGATGGCAGCAGAGCATCACTCATTAGCTCAGTTGCCATTTCAACTCCCTATTTTTTTCACGTCTTAATTTTGAATTTATTATAAAATGACTATTAAAACCAGGGGTGCACATACGTTTTTCGGTTTGGTTCTCATTAGAGCACCTGGAGATTTGGTTTGATACTCACTGCACAGTGTGACTCATTAAATATAACTATAAAAATAAAATACTGATTATTAATAGTAATAATAGTATTATTGCATATATTTATTTTGTATTTTAATAAAATAAATAAAATCAGTGTGATAATACTATTATTTGTTAAAATAAATTGAGTATTAAATAAAAATAGTTATTTTATAGTACACTTAAAAATACAATGTTAATAATACTTTTTTTATTTCTTTTTTTTCATGAATTTTCATCATTTTCAAACCTAAAATCAGCAAGTAAGTATATGCGCTGCCGAGTGAAGAGCGTCAGTGAATGAAATGTCCATTTTGCATTTTGCTGTGAAACTGGCAGCGCATCGCCTGGATTTATGCTTTCGGTTTGAGTGAAAATCTTATACAGTATCACAATTAGTCGATCTAAAACAGTGATTGTGCATTAACAGCTGTCAACAATGTCGGTTCGCAAATGAGCATTTTTTATTTTGGTCATGCATGCGCACCTGCATACCGCTTATGTGCACCCCTGATTATAACAAATGCTTTTACTTTACTGAACAATAATCAGTGAATATATGTTTAACTGTAGAAGCTGCTAAATCTATTCAGCCAACACAGACTTGTTGCTTCTGTAGATTTTTGTTTCTTTGAATTTAGTCTGAATCACTTAATGCACAGCTCTGTTTTTGACATCGGCTTGTCAGATGTTTTCACGGATTGACTCGCGTAATTTTTTACACTCACGTTTATCATTTCTGAAACAGTATACGTGGACGTTTGGTCCTCTTATTAGACAAACAAAATTGTATTCAAGTTGTGAATGGATTATGTAGAGAAACCAAGCAAAGGGTCTATTAGTAAAATCTGTTGACTTTAGCAATCTTTGTTGCATTATATGCCAACGGTGACCGTTCAAATGTGGGGGAAAAGCACTTTTCAAGTTTTTTCCCCAAAGTTTGCATGCCTGTAACTCAAGAAGTATTAAAGGTATCTTAATGCTCTTTTAGATTTGGGTTCTTAACCAACATTTCTTTTGGCATGTAAATTATTAAGGCCCTATATGGTTCAGTTCCAGAGATATTGGGAACTCAATAGGGCTCCAGGAGTAAATTGTTAAATTGTAAACATATTCCATGGTCAAAAACCAAATGTGGGTCACTTTGCATTCTGCTGATACTTTGTTCTTTTAAAGAGGAATGTCTGAAGAACAAATAATGTTAAAACTAGAAAAGTATCTCGTTTCTCTCTATCAAAACAATTTCATAGACCATACCTGTCTGAGTGACAAAATACTCTTTTTCCAAAGTTTGTGTGCCTGTAACTCAAGAAGTATTAAAGAGATCTCAATATCCATTCAGATTCTGGTTCTTAACAAACTTTTCTTGTGGTATCTTCATTTTTAAGGCCCTATGTGGTTAATTTCCAGAGATATGGGATCTCAGTGTGGCTCCATGTCCAAATATTGTTGTGCAAATTGTTGAATTTTACCCATTTTCAGTGGTCGAAAACCAAATGTAGTCACCTTGCATACAGATGATACTCCTGGCTATTTGAATTATATATATAAAAAAAATATGTATACAATGAAATTAATAAAAATTTAAATTTAAAATAAAAAATGAAAAACTAAAATTCAAACAAAAATATATATAAATTTTAAAAAATGCAGAAAATAAAATCTAATTCAAAATATGAATTAAAAAAAAACTATAATAAAATCTCAATGATACTTTAGGTTCAAACCTGAAACGAATCCTTGTCTGTTCATGTGGATTTCAGTACAGTCTGCCGTTAGTATGAAAGCAGAATTTACGGAAGTGGCCTGCTATGTATGACGCGTAATTTGCCTATTATAGGAAACAGTGTTGGGGAAAGTTACTTTTAAAAGTAATTTATTACAATATTGCGTTAAAAAGTAACTAATTGCGTTACGTAGTTACTTTTTATGGAAGTAATGCATTACATTACTTTTGCGTTACTTTTTGTCACCAGATCTAATTTTTTTTTAATAAGTTATATTTTTGGCAACTGTGAAGGCACACCAAAAGTGAAATTAATAAGCCTCAGCCTGAAGTGAATAAATGTAACGTGCATTACTTATTTAAAAAAGTAACTCAGATATTTATGTTTAAAAGTAATGTGTTACTTTACTAGTTACTTAAGTGTTACTTGTAACACGTTACCCTCAGCACTAGGGGTGTAACGGCACGCCGACATGGCGGTTCGGTATGGATTCAGTACAGCAGGGAGAAAAACATAACATTGCTTTTTTTAATTATTATTAAACAGTGGCTTACTGAACAAATTTCTCTCTTTCTTTAAATAAATTCAGTTATAACTAAAATATAATTTTTTAGTTAAAAGCCCTTTTACATTACTATAAGGTTACAATTTAGCAACGGAGCCCAAACTTAAATTTAATTACTATTTATTTTTAAATATAATAATCAACAATCACTCAACTTGCAAAAAAAAAAAAATGCATGCAAACATGTAAATTGCACATTATGCAGTTTTAAATTAACATCTAAATGATAAAATTTCTATTTGTTGTTGAAATTTGCACAGTGGCTGTCATAACTTGTTTCGTAACCGATTTATTTAAACATACATTAACTAATTAAGACATCACTAACAGTAAAGTAAAATATAATGAGTATATAGTCTAATATTTATAGCGAACTAACGAGCTTTCGGTGCGAATGCGTACACCCCTAATCAACACTGATAGGATACAGTGTTCCCACACCTTCTGACCAATGGATTTCCGGTTATTCCTCATGCATTTTTACTCAATATAGCGATTTCCATGATGCAGAAAAGACAGACCTTAGCTTTAACACTAGAATTTTACCCGTGGCTGTTTTTCAAATGTACATAAACGATTTCAAACAAAACATTCAAGTCTCCCAGTCATTGACTTTTACTAAAATTATGTAATTTACAATCCAATGTTATGTTTTAGCCTCACGTTACTCTAATTGGTCAAACTTTGGTTTAATTATTTAATTTTTGTCTTGCCATATCGTTTATTGTTCGCTACTGTGTTGCTATTCTAGTCTGGCCGTTTCCTGAAGAAGAAGAAAAACGATCTATATGATGTAATGAAGAATACCATTTTTGGATTACCCAAAGTTTAATGGTGTTGTTCTCTTATTCAAATTATAAATGATATAACTAAACAAATTAATAAATATTTAGGTGAAGCTGTGCGCTTGAATTTGTCATCGCATCATCCTATATGCAGTGTGGTGAATTACTATTGCTCATTATTGTCTATAGGCTATTTTAGTAATTTAAATACCATTATCTTAATATATTGATTAATGACATTGTATTATAATAGCCTGTTACACCACCTAAATATGTATTTACTTCCTTCTAATTCTCGTTGTCAGTGCAGGCTTGTTTAGCTTAATATTGACCGTTATGAAAAGTGACTAGTGTAGCCTGCATAAAAAA